TGATCTTCTGGAAGCTCTCCATCCATCAGTAAGGACAAAAGTAGAGGAAACAAATCTTGATCTTCTGGAAGCTCTCCATCCATCAGTAAGGACAAAAGTAGAGGAAACAAATCTTGATCTTCTGGAAGCTCTCCATCCATCAGTAAGGACAAAAGTAGAGGAAACAAATCTTGATCTTCTGGAAGCTCTCCATCCATCAACGAGGACGAGAGTAGAGGAAACAAATCTTGATCTTATGGAAGCTCTCTTAGAACTTTGAAGTGTCTTCTTCTCTCTTCATAAACTATTTGGTGATTCCATGAACTTTAGAAAGGTTAAGCGATTCGTTCATAAAAGATCTTCTGAAATTACTTAGCATCCAAATTCGTGGCCCAAGATAACCCACAAGGTGGATGCTTCGTATGATATATCCAGAGCTTTATGTGGCCCAAGATAACCCACAAGGTGTATGCTTCGTAGGATATATCCAGAGCTTTATGTGGCCCAAGATAACCCACAAGGTGTATGCTTCGTAGGATATATACAGAGCTTTATGTGGCCCAAGATAACCCACAAGGTGGGTGATTCGTAGGATATATCCAGAGCTTTATGTGGCCCAAGATAACCCACAAGGTGGGTGATTCGTAGGATATATCCAGAATTTGGTGATCCAAGTGGGTGCTTTATAACTTAAACGTATCAATTTTAAGTTGTTGAGGTCCTATCCTGTTTAATTCCAAAGAGATGTCCTTTGTTTGGTCAAGTAGTTTCTGTATAATCCTTCATAATTACTGGAAAGCTTACCGAAAGATTTATCTACCACCCTTCTTGATGTCACCCTAGGTTTTTAGGGTCTTCCTAACCATACTCGCAATATTCCTAGCTGGAACTGAAAATGATGTTGATTTGTATTCATAAAGTAACAACTGGATTCAGTTGCTTTAACTGGCATCTCAGATCCCTGTGCTGTAGACTTAGGTGTTTTTTGCAGTCTCCAGTTCAACTAACAAATGAGTTCCATTGTTACTACTACTGGCCTTGCTTGATTGGGTCCTCCGGTGGGACTACGGACTTACAACGCTAAAATCCAGTATTTAATTCCCACACTGTGTATAGAACGCAAGTAACCCAGTTTGTAGCATTGCGCCAAAACAAACAACCGGTATTGACTAATAGGTTAAAAGATACATTCCAATGTTGTGTTGACAAGTTGACGTAGTTATGAATTATTCTAGTTATTCATCTAACTCTTTTTTTATTAACAACTAAGCTATAAACAGGCAGGGAAGCGTGTCAGATAACACGTGGGAAGTACCCAAAGATACGTGGTTTTATTCTAGTCTAATGTCCACGTTAACTTTTGGTGCAACAAGTGTTGTTATGAATTTTTGTAGCGCTAAGTAAGTGCAAAACGCGTTTTCGCGGCAAAGAGTCGGGAACAATAGGAATCTTGTATTCACAACCTGGGCACGCTAACCATAGGATACGCCCGGTTCTAATATTATGAATAAAAAATACAAAGAATTGATTCAAGAAGTATTTTAAACGACCTTCACCGAAACCTAAAGTAAGGTAGAAGGGCATGAATTTATACAGGTAGAAGGGCGTGAATTTATATAAGTAGAAGGGCGTGAATTTATATAAGGAGAAAGAACATTTCCTGATTTAGGGAGGATCAACAGGAAGTTGACAAAATGCAGAGGTACTGTAGGGGGGGGGGGAGAAGGATGTTTTCTTTCACAAGGATTTTAATCTCTTTTTATTCTTCTAAAATGTTATTATTTTCTTTCTATTATTTTATTCAAGCCATCTGTACGTGTTACCTAAGCCGTGAGTTATCAGTGTATAATGTTTTAAAAACGGGCAAGCATTTACAAATATTAGCTTTCTATTGTAGCACTTTGTATTTTTACCGGATAATTCAAATGAAATCAAATCCAAGATTTGTTCCGTTATGTAGCATACGTTTTTGACAATAGAATGAACTCGAACAAACCTTTACGTCCTGAAGAGAAAAACCAAAAGAAAGTAGTTCTGTTTGCTTAGAATTTGTGCGCAAAACTACACAAGGGTTATCTGCGCATCACCGTTTTTAATTTGGAAGCGGTAGACTAAAGGGTTTGTTTGTTTGTTATAGATTTCGCGAAAAGCTACACGCGGGCTATCTGCGCTATAGCCGTCCCTAATTTAGCAGTGAAGGGAGGGAGGAAAGCTATTCATCACCACCTTTTTGGGCTACTCTTTTACCAACGCATAGTGGGATTGATCGTCACATTATAACGTACCCACGGCTGAAAGGACGAGCATGTTTGGTGTGACGGGGATTCGAACCCGCGACCCGCAGATTGCGAATCGAGCACCCTAACCACCTGGCCATGCCGGGCCAGACTAAAGGGAAGCCAGCTAGTCTTGGATTACCCCTTGTCTGACTGCAAAAGTGGGATTTGACTATTTCTCCTTTAACACACCCACGGATCGAGTGTTTGCAGAGACGGACCTCAAACCATCAACCCTCAGATTCACAGTCGGATACGCTATCCATATAGGCCATTCCCGGCGAGAGGAATACATCAGTTTAGAACCAATGTCGATGTAGCTTGATGTAGTCCTTAAAATATTAGTTTTTAAGTAATACACCGATGATAATGTTATATTCTTTAAATGCCGTTTTATTTCAAACATACATTTGTACTTGTATTATATTGAAACTAGACT